GGCCGAGTTGGGCTCAAGCGCAACGTCCCAGTGGGGCCCCAGCGCGTTCTCAACGGCAGCGTGGGCGAGGTGGGCGGGCCAGGTGGCGCTTGGCCCACCGACTTGGCGTCGCATCTCAACAACAAGCTGGCGCTGTGGGCGAACAGGCAACAATGCCAGTTCGGTGGTGTAGCTCGTCCGTTGCACAATGCGTCGCGCGCAGCGTAATTTGCGAAAGTGTGCTTCGTGCTCGGCAGCGTTCGCCGCGCGATGCGTCGCGGCGGTCGGGGTCGCCAGCGGCGCGGCGCGGGCTGGCGGCGCCGCCTCCGATGGAAGCGCGCGGGGCGCGTTCGCGCGCGGGGGCGCGACGGGCCGCCGCAGAGGTGGCGGCCGACGGCCGCGATGGCTGCTGCAACGGTTTGGCGTGCAAGCGGCTTGGCGCGCGCGCGGGCGCGAAACGGCGCGCGGTTGACGGTCGGCGGCGCGGGAAGGGCGCCGTCGCCGACGTGCTTCCACACGTGCCCGCGGTGCCCGCGCGTGCGTCATTCGGGCGTCTGCGCCATCAAGCGCAGGTCCGCGCGCGCGTTGGACGTGCACGTCTGAAGCCCAGTGGCTTTCGGCATCGCTGCGCTCGCGCAGCGGCCTCGGCGCGCCGCGCCGAGGCGTCGGGCGCGCGTCGGCGCGGCCGTCGCGCAGGGCGCAGTGCGCCCCGCGCGCATCGATTCGGCAAATCGGATTTTCCAAATCGTCCCGCGCAGATCGACGGGGGAAAATTTTTTTACTGTCGGGGGGAAATTTCTTTACTACGGAGGAAAATCGGATTTTCCAAATCGTTCCGCGGAGGAACGCACAGCCGCGCCCGCCAGCCATGTCGTCCTGCGCGGGTCGGCAAGCCCCCCCCCCCAGCTGGACCGCGCAAGTGCGGCCTGTCCTGGGCGGTGGCCGACGGCGCCCGAGTGCGCTTGCGTTTGAACAGGGGTTGCCAGCTAGATGCGTTGATGAGAGAACGGCCGATATGGCTTGACTACATAATATCATCTTAGGCACCGAACTGGTCCGAAATTTTGCAAAGTACCCCCCCCCCCTGCGCGTTTCTCCCGCCCAGGTTCTCTCCCTGGCAATTCTGGCGCAGGTTGCCAGATTCGCTCGCGGTGGCGCTTGCGTCGGGGGACAAGCTGCCGCGACTGGAATTCATCAGCGGGCGCGTCGCGCCCCGCTGCCGCGTGGTGCGTCAGCTGTCGTCGCCGCGCCCTTCTCGGGCGCGCCCGCGCTCGGACGCGCGGGCGCCCCTCGCGGGCGTCGGCTGCGGGCTTGCTCGGGGGTCGCGCGCGCGCGCCCGCTCGGGCCCGCCATGTTGAAGTTTTGTTGGCGCTCGCAGCGGTCTGCGCGGACGGGTGCCGCCGCGGCTCAAGGGCGCGCGCCGCGTGAACTCTGCGCGGCTGGGCCCCGAGTGGCAAGGGCCAGCCGCCGGTTCGCGATGGCTTGGTCGACCGAGGCAACTGGCCCCCGCAGGCGCGGGGCGGCGCGCGTCGGCATGGGAGTGCGCATGGGCGGCAGCGCGGGAGGCGGGCGCGAGATGCGGCATGGGCGCGGGCGGGGGGCGGGGCCAGCGGGGCGACCGAGGCCAGGGGCGGGGTGGCGCGCTTGCAGTGCGCAGCGGGGGTAGGCGTCGCGCGCCGAAAGGGCAGTTGGCTCTGCGCTCGCTGATGTGCGAGCGCGGCAGTCGAACGCGCCGCGGCGGCGCGGCGCGCCCTCCCTTCATCTGCGCGCGGCGGCTGCGCTTGGCGCCAGGCATGTCGCAGCTACCCTCGCAGCGCCGACGCCGCGGCCGCGCGCGCTCGTTCGGCGCGCCCGCGCCGCGGCGGCCCGCTGGACGGCGGCAGCGGGCAAGCCGCCCCCGCCGCTCGGGCGACCAGCGCGCGCCGCGCGCGGGAAGGCCCCCAATGCGAGACTTATGCTTGGGCGTGCAATGTCGGGTGCGGGAAGCTTCTTGCGCCGCTTCTTATCGGCGCGCTGAGCGCGCGCCCACGGTGGCGCTCGCGCGCCCAAGGTCGCGCTCGCGCGCGCCGAGCGCCTCGGTGAGGGAGCTGGCCGCGCGCGCCCATCAGGGGGCGCCGCGCGCCCTCGCGCAGCTTCCTCGCGGCGCAGCGCACAGCGCATCCAAGCGGGAAGCGCTGGGCGTTCTCCGATCGGCGCGGTAAGGACAAGGCTGCGGCAGCGGCGGCGGCGCGCGAGCGGGCGGGTGCGCCGCGGAGGGCACGCGCGCGGTTTGGCCGTCGCGGGCGCCGACGCCACGGCCGAAAGACGGCGCGTTCGCGGTGCGACCCGACGTTGCGAGCACGGAACAGCGAGCATTGGCGTTGGCCCATGGAGCTCTTCGGCCACAGCTCGTCGGGAGGTCGAACTATGCTGGCAGCGTCTAGCTGGCTCTTCGCGGCAGCGCGCCGCGTCCCGCGGCGGGCCCGACGTGCGTCGACAATCTGGAATGCGCCCGCAAGGCGGCAAGGGAGGGCGCGGACAGCCCAAGCGGCCTCGAGGCTGCGACGACAACGGCCTGCGCGAAAACGGCGCGGTGAACACGAGAGGTTGGATCTGTCTGCGCAGCGTCGGCGCCTCGCGCGCGCGTCGGTTCGGCTGGGTCTGCCAATGTCGCGCGCGGCGGGGCGATTGCCAAGTCTGGTTGCCGCGCGAACCGCATCGGCGCGCGTGGCCAGCGAACGGACATTGTAGATGTCGCGGCTTCGTCATAGCAGCTTGGCCCGCGGCGATGCGCATGTTCTGCCGCGCTCCAGGCTTCTTGCCAAGGCTGTTTGCGTCAATTGGGCGTCGGGCCTCTTTTGCTGCGCTCTTATCGCCCGCCTGCGCGGCGGGCCTTGAGGGCGCGCCCTCTCGGGCGGCCCCGACGGGGGCTGCCATCTGTGACTTAGCGGTGCGTTGCACCGACTAACCCAAGCGCGTTGCGTCCGTCTTTCGTGCTAAGTAATCACGGACATCCCGATGCGGTTTCAGAGTAGCTTCGATATTGGTAGGCAATGATAACTACAGCGAAAGTCGCGAGCAATGGGCCAGCCTTTTGGCGCGAAAGAGCGAAGCTACACTCGCGCGGGGCATCGCCACGGACACCCACTGTCCTTGCATGGGGGAGCTAGTAGCCACGACACTAACACGCCCGCCGACGGCCAACCACGCGTCATGCGTCGGGTCCGTCAGGCATGCGTGACGGGGCGTGCGTTTAGTCATCTGTTGCCCCCGAATATTAAAACACACCCAGTGAGTGTGCGCGGCAAGGTGCATTCAAGGTCGAACGCCAAATCCTGTCCGACGCCTTGCATCATACATGTCCTTCAGAGCAGCCACCTTGGATGTTGAAGGCGGTCGGTGCGCGTGTCCGTCATATTTGTGCGCCGAGGTTCCAGAGCCCCAGCACCTTCGCACTTGCAGTTTTTTTAGCACGAGGCCTCTTTCAATGTGCGTCTCGGTAGCAGACTCCATCTCGTCATCTTTCTCAGCGGCATTCGCCTTTTGCTGCTGCATGCGGGCGATTGTATTCCTCAGGTTGATGACTCGGCGCTTCGGGCAAGACCGTGCAGCTGCGTTTGTAAACGATGGCGTCTTGCACCGCCTTTTTGAAGCGCCAGGTCGCTGTGCGCAGCAATCCCACGACGCGCGGAGAGTGCCCGCGCTTCTTGGCCGCAGTGCAGAGGGAAAGTCAGATGATGATTCGTCCGCGCGAGCCAGTGTGAGAGACCGAGCTCGTTGGCTATGTCTTCAATCTCCTCGCCCACTCTGGACGCCCTTTCTAGAGGATATGCACCACCCTTTCTTTCCTCAGCTCCCCCCTCTTTGCATACTTGCATTATTGCACGGTTTATTCTAAGCAGTTCCGCACATTTGCTTTCCGATTGCGTCTCGAAGGCGAGGGCCCAAGCCCAAGCACCCTGTGCGAGTGATCGCTGGAGACCTCCGCTCTCCTTCCTCCGATCGTCGACGTTTTGGTCGCGGTCGTTTCTCTGGTCGTGGTCCAGGCCCTCCTTTCATCGAAGGACCATGAGCTTGCCAAGGTGCCCTGAAAATTGGTATGTTTCGGAAGCCATCCCACACCAATCTGGGTTCGTGCGCGCGTGCAGCTCGCCCCACAGAGTCTATGGAAGGTGGCGTTCTTGGAAGTTCAGGAAGAGGGGCGCGATGTCATATCTTCGGGAGGGGTTCGCAGAGAGCTCCATATGGCGTAGAAGGGGGAACCAATAAAGGGCCCAGCCTCCTCCCAGCGTCTTGCGTCTGAACCATTAGTCCACGGGTCCTGCATCTACAGTCTCAGGACTTTTCGGGGACAACGCCTACAACAGTTTTCAAATAATAGCTTGCTCGGTCACCCGTGCGCGCGTCCAGTCGGCAGAAGGCTCACACATTGGAGCTTGGGCCATGTTTGGACAGAAGGGTCATAGCAGGGGTTGTTCAGAAGCCATCTCTGAAGTTGAACGCCAACCGCTGGCAAGATGTCTTGCCTCTCTAGGTTGTGGGTGTAGTCCAACGTTGCTCCCGCTCGATGTGCGTGACCTTTGCCATCGATAACGCCATATACGAGCATCTCATGTTCGCTTGGCCCACCCCTTCTTCTGCGGTCAACAACTGCTTCGGCGCGTAGGTATGTGGGGGGGTCCAAACAAACAAACAAAGTGACAACGCTCCGAGTGCCAAAAAGCAGGGGTGTGACCCGCAGTGTGCCCATTCTCGTTAGCGTGTCTGTATGGTGTCTCTCGCCCTGCGCCTCAAATCATCGGATTGCGTTGCATGTGGTACGCAGTTGCAAATACGTGTGTTTGCATTGCATTGGAGGGCGGCGATGTCCTGGCGTTCCGCACGGATGTATCGCGGGGCCTAAGTGCCATGAGACATGATGCTGTTGTTGGCAAGTGTCGATGTCAATGCGATGGTGATGATCATGGTGATGGAAGCGCGGTACTCCTTGGCCCGCTGTCCTAGATGGGGGGCAGGATGCGGCTGCGGCCACTGCGCCGCAGGCGAAGCGTGGCAAGAGGGCCTCCTCGGCAGTAGCTGGATGTGCTTGCGGGTCCTGCGGCGAGAAGTGCCTGCCAGATTGCTCCAACTGGGCCGAGAAGGAGCTTCAGGTGGACGCGAGGAATAACAATGTCATGGTTCCGATCGGGCCCGTGTGCGAAGGATGTGCCGTCTTCGCCGCCTTGAGGTACATTGACGTCGCCGCCTTGTGCAAGGCGAAGCAGCAGGCTGATGAGAAGGGCAAGCCGAGTCCATACCAGAAGGACTTATCAGAACACAAGGCTTCGATCATGCATCCCCATTCTCCGACACCATGGGGCAAGTGCGAGGTCTATAGGGAGACGATCGGCGGCGTGTATGTCGAGGAGGCCGCGGCGTTCGAGAACAAGGACTCCTTCCATCAGACCTACGGGGTGGCCATGGAGGACGTCAAGTTGGCTGGATTGAGGCGTGACTTCCCTGGTGGCAAGGCCGAGTCGGGCTTGCTGCGGCCCTGCGGCGCCTCCGATGCCACGAGCAGTGCTGGTGCTCCAGCACCGAAGGTGGTGAGGTACCTGAACACCCGCATCGTGATGAGGCAGCCTCTCATGAAGCAGCACACGTTCGAGTCGCAGAGCCAGGTGACCTTCGACGACGAGTTGCAGCGGGTTCACGACATGCGGGGCGGTGCGTTCGCGAGCAAGTACCAGCCGAGGAACAAGGGCATCAAGACTTACACCGACGAGCAGGTCAAGGAGGCCGTCGAGGAGTTCGAGCGCAAGAAGGAGTCCCAGAAGCACCAGGGCCTGCCGACAATGCACGGGGTTGCGGCAGCCGCGCGTGCACCTTCAGCTTCGCCGCCTCCGAGTGGAGCTGGCCGGCCTGGTGCCGGAGGGTGCAGCGGGGCAGCGAGTTCTGGAGGAGGAGGGACGCCGTTCGTCTCCCCGATGGCTACGAAAGCATCCCCGAGAACGGCAATGCTGCTCAGGCTTCAAGACGGGACGCCAGGAGACGATACCAGGTCGGTGCTGTCTGGTGTTGATGGTCCTAGTGCAGCAGCTGGCAGCAACGCGTCTCGCCGTGGCTCTGGCAGCCCCGCCCCCTCAGCGGCAGGCACCGACGCAGTGTTGCCAGTGACGGCGCAGCTGGCCGACTTGGACGCTGACTGCCACGACGACTGCGACTTGGGGGAGACGCAGGCTCGCATTCGGTCGCCAGATTTCTGGTACAGCGTCTGCACGGTCGCGAACGCCTTCGCCAGGGATCCCAAGCTCACCAGGCGCATGCAGTGGGCTCGCAACTGTGTCAAGCGCCTGCTTGGAGCAGTTGCGACTACGCTTCAGGCGCGGTGGTCTTCCTCCCTTCATCCGTTTCCTCTTATCTCTCCTCCTAAACCTGCTCTCTTCACCTCCTCCTTCCCGTCCGCCTTCTTGTCCTCCTTCTCCTCCTTCCTCAGCGCCTGCATCATTATCCTCCTTACTCTCCTTCCTACTCTCCTCCTTTCCCGCATTCCTCATTACTGTCCTTCCTCAGTGTCTGCGTCGCTCTCCTCAGCCCCCCCCTACTCTCCTTCCTCGGTGCCTGCATCGCTCTGCTCCGTCCTCAGCTTCCTGTCCTTCCTACTCTCCTCCTTGCTCCTCTTCCCCTCCCCCCATCGTGTCATCCTATCATCATCCTTCACCTTCTCCTTCTCTGGCTCGTCTCGCCTCTTCTTCTCCTCGTTCCTCCCATTCTCCTTTCCGTTATCCTTAGTTCACTGCTCTCCGCAGCCAGCCCCTTCCATTTCGTCGCAGTTGTTTCGTATTCTTGCCCGCTTCCCCCGTGCAGGCTGGCAGATTGGAGACCTTCTTGGACAAGACCGACGCCGCGATCGCCCTGATGGACGAGCTTGCAGCGAACCCCTCTGGCAGCGAGAGCTTGTGGAAGGCTGCTCGCGCGCTCCACGGGATGAAGGTCGAGTGCCCAGACCATGTGGTCGTGAAGCTCACGCGCGCGCTGGCCTGCCAGAACATGCTCCTCGTCTTCGCGAAGGCCGAAGAGGATGGCGCTCTACTGGCGAACGTCTCCGACGTGGTCGCAGCGGCGAACCCGTTCAGGAGCATGGGCGACAACGTCGTCGGCGGGGAGGCGCACTCGGACAGCTTGCAGGAGGACGCGGACGTCCAGCTCGTCGCGGATTCGCCAGGGTTCGATCTGCTCAGCCCCAGGGTTTCCCACCTCCGTCTTGGGCTCAACGAGAGGGTCCTGGAGTGTGGCAAGGTTGTTGTCAACGAGCTGATCCCCATGGTTGCTCAGCGCGGGGAGGATGCCCTCGAAATCATGCTCTCGCTGTGCACGTCCTTGGAGTCGACCTTCGAGGCTGCGCTCGAGGATTTGGATATGGTCCCTGAGGCTACGCACGATCTCCTGGATGCGATCCGCGCTGTCATTGGAGTCGTGTCCAGCACTCCTGCGTCGCACCATTTTGCTGCGCTCCAGACGGCGACGAAGGAGTTCCAGGACAAGATGGAGACCATCAGAGCCAATGCCATGCTTGCCCTCTACCACGGTGACTTCTACAAGCGCAGGGCCATCCACGTGTTCAAGCATACTCCCGACATGGCGTCTGCAGTGGAGACGATGGACGCCGCGATGAAGGCTATGGATAGGTTGAGCGGTTTCGGACCAGATGGCGTTGAGTTCACCAACACCTTCACCTCGTCCCTGGTGCAGCTTCAGCGCGCACAGCAGGTATTGACGCCAGGTGCTACCAAGCAGTGGGAGATCAAGCTCGTTCACAGTTTGCAGCGCGCCTGGGAGTCGATCGGCACTTCTAAGGGCGTCGTGCTCACGAAGATCGAGGTGGAGAACTTGGCTCGCTGCGCGGAGTCTGCGAAGGACGTGTGGCCGTCCGAGAACGTGATCGACGACATTATCATCTGGTGTGCCTCTACTGCACAAGCCGTGGCTGCGACTGAGCGTGACGAGACAGTCTCTGCCAGCATCTCGGTTTGCTTCGACCCAGAGTTTGATGTTCAGAAGTTCGTTGACGCCCTCAAGGCGGAGAAGTAGAAGAAGTGCCCGAAGTTTTGCAGATGACTCCAAGGTCGGCGCGCTGCTCAAGCGCGGGGTCGCCGCAATGTACGTCCTTTACCAGACTGGCGATGTGACGCAGACACTTCTAGGTGAGGCGGTCGTCCTCGCGGAGTCGGTATTGCATCCGAGTGACCTCGGACAGGGTTGGAAGGCATTCGCATCGTGCTTGCAGCTGGAGGCCGACATCGCCCTCACCTTTGAGACCATGAAGGAAAGCGACTTGATCGACGCCCAGGCTGCCGATGACCCCGCGGCCATGATCAAGCGCCTTCTCGCCCAGATGGTGGAGTACGACAGGCACTCGTGTTCTCTGCCAGAGGAGCTCCACTCGAAGAAGATGAGCGACGCGTTTGGTGAGTACAAGCGGTGCACTTCGGAGATCAAGAATGCTCACGCCAACGATGCCCTTGAGAACCTGACCACTGCGATGGCCGACAACAAGAACCGCCAGCATGGCGGAGAGGACGGCCAGAGTTGGCGTTCCAGCCTGGCGGACACCTCGACGTTGACCGACTGCTTCGACACCTGCGCCGAGTCGTTGTTCCAGCAGCCCGACTTGTATGTGCAGGCGGAGCGGATCCAGAAGGCGGTGCAGAGCTACCAGGACGCCTGCCACCTCGTCGGGTTGCCGACGGACGCCGACATCATCAAGGATGCTGGCGTGATGGTCTCTGCGCTAGGGGTCACGCGCACGGAGGCGCTGCTGTTGCGCCTCTTCAACGTCGACGGTTTGGCCCAGTGGGGGCCCGAGGAGCGCGACACGAAGACGCGCCAGATCAAGCGCGAGTGCCAGAAGTTTGGCAAGTGGCAGAGTGCGTTCAAGCCCATTAGGGATCGGGCCGCGGAGGCCATGAAGAGGAAGTAGGAGGAGGTGCGAAGGGCCATCGACGCCAACATCGCGGGTGATGCTAAGGTTTAGCGCGGTAGATTCCAGAGTGAGGCCCCCCACGGGGGCCTCGATCACGGTCCCACTATTAGAGTCTACCATTGGCCTCGGCATTGCCCTCGATCGTGGCTTCGGTGGGCCCTGTGGGGAATACCTCGCCTGACATCTGGTGGAAAGCGTTGAATGATGATGGTGAGTACGAATAGTAAGGATGAGACTAACAGAAAGAGAATAATAAGTCATGAGGGTATAACAAAACAAACCCATGTTTAAACACACGTGTTTCTACCAGATAGTGTTTAAGAGCGGCTCCGCTGCCAGCGGAGCCCGAGGTGTCAGAGCGGTGCAGTCCGTCGCACCGCCAGCCTTGGAAAAGCGACGGAGCGGGAGAAGGGTGGTTGAGGGCCGTGGAAGGCCCGAGGAGAGGAGGGAGGGAGGAGGAGGGGCAGAGGAGAGGAAGAACGGAAGGGGAGGGAGGAAGACGAGGGAGGGAGGAGAGGGGAGGAAGGAGGCAGGAGCCCCCCGCCCCCGCCGCCCGTCCTTCGGGCGCGTCCTGGACACGAAGGCCAGCCACCGCCGCTCCAACCCGCCAGGAGGGAGGAGGACGAGGAAGGAGGAGTGGCAGGAAAAGGAGCGAGGAGGAGGACACTAAGTGAAGGAGGGGGGAGAGGAGAGGGAGGAGGAGGAGGAGGGAGGAGGAGGAGGGGGAAGGAGAAGGAGGGGGAGGAGGAGGGGGCACGAGGAGGAGGAGGAGGCGGAGGAGGAAGGTGCCCTCCTCCTCCTTATCCCTCCTCCTCCCCCTCCCCCTTTCACTCCTCCTCCTCCTTCTCCGCGCGCTCGTGCTCGCCCCCCCTTTTGGTAAAGCCACCCCTCCTCAAACGAGTCGGCGGTGTCTGACCCCCGCGA